TTCTTTACCCAAAGGATTGTGAATCTGTGGAATTCCCTGCCCAGTAAAGCAGTTGAGGCTACCTCATTGAATGTTTTTAAGGCAAAGATATTTTGAACAATAAAGGAATTAAGGGTTATAGTGGATGGGTAGGTAAGAGGAGCTGAGTCCACGAAAAAATCAGCCAGGATCTTATTGAATGGTGGAGCAGGCCGGGTGGGACAGATGGCCTACTCGTCTTCCTATTTCTTATGTTCTTGTGATAGTGGGAAAATCAGCGATATTATATTGTTGGACGCCATAGAGTAATTGTGAGATTTTCTCTTGTTGGGAAATGGTCATTGCATCGCTATGAACGTTACTTGCCATTTGTCAGCTCAAGCCTGGACATTATCCAACCTTTGCTGCATTTAGATGTCGATTACTTTAGAGTCTGAGGTATTTCTGTGTTTTCATGCTCTATGTATAAAGAGGAAGTTGCAGTAAGCCAACATTGGAAGCAAGGAGAAATTAGTTAAGGCAGCGTTTGAAATGGACCATTTCAGAGGGGAGATTACCTATGTAAGACAATAAATTTCATGGAAGTGTTCTCGGGTGTTTTCTGTCTCACCGTAAGCATAATATCTAAAAAGAGGGAAAAACATACTCTATCTCTTCCTTATTAATTTGCCTGAGGTTGTTGTGAAGCAGCAACAGTGCACCTACCTCTGCCCGAAAGTCTGGGTTCAAGCTGCACCTTCCCTGGATACATGTCCTATCAAGTTGATTAAAATAATCACCAGCTGTGGTTCCATGCAACTCCCTTCCCATCTTGCTTTCATTGTCCTGTCTTACCCTGGTACATAAAACAGAAAATATTTGCTATTCTTACTGTTTGTTTTTTTTTTTCTTTTTAGGCTAAAGGACCAAGTAGTCCAACAAACAGTGGAACTGAAAACTCGGTTAAAAGGTTGTAGTGCTTACGAATTGTATAAGTCATTTAGATACAATTTGGGGCTTGAGTGTTCAACAGTGTAACTGTTATTTCTTTTTCTCAAATCCAGTGTTTGAAATATAATAGAATAACACTTCCAGCATGTAGACTTACTTCCTTAAGTGAACCATGTTTGATAGTCTAATGTTGAAAAATAAGATTGATAACAGAAACCGTTAATTCAATCCAAGTTATTTTAGGCTGCTCCAGCAGTTCCCACCATAAAAGGTTTGCTTTAATGTAAAACTGAGCCATAAAAACTAGAAAAATTCCAGATTCAGTGCCTTGTCCAAGTTGATTTATCTGATAGCAACCTGGGAACACAGGTTCAATTATTGGTCTCAGTCATGGGATGGTTACAGTATAGAAGGAGACCATTTGGCCTGTCATTTCTTTACCAGCTTTCAGTAAGAACATCCTGTATAGTCCCACTTTCCTGGTTATTCCAAAAGTCCCGCAAGTTTTTTCTTTTGCAATAATTAACCAATTCTCTTTTGAAAGCTTTGATTGCATCCGCCTTAAACCCACTGTCATGCAATGCATTCCAGATCCTAACTGTTCATTGTGTGAAAATAAATATTGACTGTTTTGTTAATTACCTTAATTCTGTGTCCCCAATTTTTTTACCCTTCCTTCAAAAAAGAAATAAAAGATCAGCCTGGATTCTCATTTGTAATTATTATGCAGTGACTCCTGTTCAAAGTTCTTGTGGGCAGTCTTTGTGAATAAGTATGGATTCTCCCATAACAAAAATCAGTGATGGTAATGTGAGATAGAAGGGTTGTTGGTCTTATTAAATACATAATGCAACTTGAGTCGCGAGTAGTGTGAATCGCATAATTCTCTCTGTATGCACACACACCTGTAAAAGCATTTTAAATTCCAACATTAACTGGTATCTATATTTTATTACCAGGCTTTGAAACCAATACGGAGGCTTTATCAGAAGACAACCTGAAAGAAGTGTATGTTGATTCAATTTACAATCTTTATATGAACTTTAAAAAAAAATCACCTTTCACCTCAAATATTACACAATTATTGTTACTATTGTTACCAAGAAACAATGGAAGGGCAAGAGACCTTTAAGTTCTTGGTGGAATATTAGTGAAATTATTTTCTTTTGCCTCTTTTGCAGGATTCTGGTGCTTGAAAAGGAATTAGAAGATGTTTCATTTTCTTTCCAGCAGAAAACAATGGCTCTTCACAGGTGCAAACATGTCTGGTTCCATTTTTGTTCAGGTTATCTTACTTTATTTGTGACATCATTCCAAATCTAAACAAAATTTCAACTCCTTTGAGATTGAAAAGACAGTGGCAGCTGATACATTATGTTTAGTTGCCTTGATTTTTCTCATTCATGCCAGAGTCTTTGGTATCTCCAGGTTGGGCAGAAGGCATTTGCCAATACTATTTCACACTCCATTTTATATCCATGCTTTTAATTAAGATATTCAGCTTCCTCTTAAATGTAAATTATAATCTTAGACATAATTCCCTCAAGGTGGATGAATCAGTTTGCCAAGTACCTGAAAAGATACAATAACCCACCTTGATGAGCATCATCCTTCTACGTCTTGGAAAACTTCAAGAAAGGAATTACTCTGTGAATAAGGTCTGGTATAGTGTGGAACTTGGTGAAATGTAGCTTTTATTCATTCACGGGATGTGGACATCGCTGGCCAGGGTAGCATTTATTGCCCATCCCTAAGGGTCCAAAGGGCAGTCAAGTGTCAACAACATTGCTGTGGGTCTGGAGTCCGACGTAGACCAGACCAGGGAAGGACAGCACTTTCCTTCTGTAAAGGGCATTAATGAACTAGATGGGCTTTTCAGACACTTTAATATTACAACATTTTAATGTAAATTTGTAATTTCAGAATTAATTGTAGAACTTTGGAGTATAAATGCTCTATAAATAATTTAAAAGTAGCTGATAAGAGGGTAGCTTTGTGACTATTTAAGGTGTCGTCTTACTCTGTGTCAGTACTGGTCAAATTTGCGCTTGTGCCACTATAATAATCAATGAGAAATCAAGAATGTTGAAACCTGAAAAAGAAAATCTCTCCACATCACTATGGCTGAAAATCACCCAGATCAAGAAGTGCTCCACAAGCATCCAATTCCCAAAAATAATAGGGATCAGTAAACTAAAGCTTCATGGATGACTTTAAAGATGAAGAGAAGTTAAAAGTGACAATGAAGATAACTGAAGGTGGCCAAGCAAGAAAGAAGGCTCTGTATTGACAGCACATCTCTCAAGGCTACGTACTTGTGGTTCACCCAGCAGAGAAGTGAAGATGTGCCCATTTCTGGTCATGCAAACTGAGGTAAAGGCATTTTGCTTCCAAATAAGTGGAAATGCCAGTGGCATGGTAGAGTTTAGAGTCAATAAATGTTGTTAACGTGGTTCAAGAACTAACATGGCATTTTGAAAAAGAAGAATAAGTCTGTGGACAACCCAGCCAGTTGCAAAATGATAATGTCACTGGAGTGGTAATCAAAGGACCCAGTCTAATGCTGTGAGCATGTGTTCAAATCCCACTATAATATTTGATGGAACTTAAATGTGAAGTTGAAAGCTGGTTTCGTAATGGTGGCCAGAAAGCTATCATGGATTGCAGCAAAAACCCATCTGAATCACAAATGTCTTTTAGAGAAGGAAATCTTCCATCCTTCTCCTGATCTGACTTTAGACTACTAATACTGTGTTTTACTCTTAATTGGCCTCTGAATTGATGTGGAATACTTTCCATTCAAGAGCAGTTAGGGATGGGTGTCAAATGCTGGCCTTGTCAGTGATCATTTCTGACTGAATTAAAGAAATGCTTCTTTCATTGTTGCCACAAAATTGATTTACACATGCTACCTCCATTTGTCATAGTTAAGACTTGCCAAACCGTGCTTCCACCATGTAAGTCTAAAGTCACTGTCATGCTGTTACTTTTGCAGTGCCAAAGATCTAGATGATATCATCAGTTACCAAAGGTTGACTTCACTTTAAATCATGTCAAATTCATAAACCTCTCCAACACAATAAACTGAAAGTTGGGTATCTTGCTGCTTGACAACCACTTTACACACCTATCCCAGAAACCATAGTTACACATTGAATAATATCAAAATTTCAACTCCTTGATGAAGGCATCATATATGCCTTCGAATGTAAGAGAGCTGATCAAGGGAATGTTGGATAATAGAGACACTGTGACAAGTTTCCTGAAGAAGTTCAACATTAAAGAGGAAATCTACAAATATGGCTGTGTCGTGTTTGAGACAAATGATAGCAACAATGTGGAGGATTTCAAAGTTCATTTGAGAAGTAAAAATGAGAGTCTATTTGACACTAGGTCTGTACTGGCCAGCATGTATCGATACATGGTTGAATATTGACTCCCAAGAATCTACCATCAAGATGATGGCAGGTGCTGAATATTGGCCAATTCAAACCCTAAAGACATCCAGAAACCTGAATAAATTGATGATGTTGAAGACATCAAGACTATTCCAGTGCCACCATCTCACACAGTTATCCACTACCTAGAATTCCTGAAGTTGTTATGAAAAGTCAACTGCTGCAGGTGTTACTCAAATTCAGAACTTCCTACCTCTAGTAAATACTGGGGCAAGGAGTAAAAATTTTTATTTTTGAGCTTGCATCCAACCTTTTCTTATTGACTGTAAATGTACATTCACATAACTTGAAACAATTGTCTTCACCCTTTTGTTTGCTTCAACATTCTAGCTTGGTGCTTTTGAGAGGTCCTTGCTATAACACAATCTCACCTATAATGTGGCATTAAGTTGTGGACCACATAGTACAGAAAGAAGGGTCCTAGTGTTCAGTTTCCCATCTTTCAGCTTTGGTAATCAAAAGGGAAAAAATGCATTTAAGTAACTAGCTGTTATATTCCTTTGCTGGTTTATAGGCTTCAATTCACACATGCGGTTCGTGAAGCAGCGCAGAAGAATGATGAAGAAGGGAAGTGAGTATTTGGAGTGTGTGGATATTAATATAATGCTCTATTTTTGTCTTCATCTGTATTGAAGTCAAAGTAGATTCTCAAGTCTGCTTAGTTTTCCTGATAGTTGTTCAAGTTAAATTTGGCATTTGGCACTGTTAATTGAACCAAGCAGAATGATTCACATATTTTAAGGGGAAATAACAGTGAACTAACATTTATGTAGAAGAATTCGGGATAACCAAGCAATCTTTTTTAAAAAGTACAATGTGATTAGCACTGTACACAATTACATTCAGAATTCTTTTCAGCCGAAGTTTTAGATTAGAATGAATGGTAAGTGTTCTGTGACTTGTATCTGTACAGATTCCAACATAAATGAAATCTAATGTAACAAAGTAACTGACCATTTGTAGATTCTTGACTGTAATTTCATGTAGGAACAGGAGTAGGCCATTCAGCCCCTTGGAGCCACTATTCAGTGAGATCATTGGCTGATCTGTGGCCTGACTGTATATACCTGCTTTTGGTCCACATCCCTTAATACGTTTCTTAAAAAAAAAATTATTTTATCTCTGATTTAAATTTAACAAGGCTGAGGAGCTTAATAGAAGTATATAAAATAATTAGTGGCATGGTTAAGGTGGATAGTCGAAGTCTTTTTCCAAGTGCCAAATAGATTTAAAGTGAGAGGAGAAAAGTATAAAGGAGATGTGCAAGGACATTTTCCTACACAGAGGATGGTATGTGCCTGGTACACGCTGCTAAGGAAGGTGGTAGAAGCAGATGCTATTGCAGCATTTAAGAAGCATTTAAACTGAAATGTGAACAGGCAGGATATAGAGGGATATGGACCAAGTATAGGCACGTGGGACTGGTTTAGAATGGCATCATGGTTGGCACAGACATGGTGGGCCAAAGGGCCTGAAATTGTGCTGTACTGTTCTATATTCCAACAACTGATTTAGCATCCTGTTTGTAGAAGAGAGTTCCAAACCTTTCCTCCCCTTTGCTGTGTGGCAGTGCTTCTTAACATCTCTCCTGAACAATCTGGCCCTAATTTTTAGCCTGCACCCCCCTTGCTTTTAGAACCTCCAACTAGTAGTTTCTTTATCCACCCTGTCTTTTCTTATTAATATCTTGAAGGTTTTGATCATATCACCTCTTAACTTTTTACATTCTAAAGAAAATAGGCTTAATATGCATAATCTCTCCTCATAATTTAATCCATGAAATCCAAATATTATTCTTGTAAACCTATGTTGTACTCCCTCGAAGGCCAATGTATTTTTCCTTCACCGATGCTGCCAGACCTGCTGAGCTTTTCCAGCAACTTTTTTTTCTTCTTCCTAAGGTGTGGTGCCCAGATCTACTCACAGTACTCCTAGTGGGTCTAACCAGGGTTTTGATTAGCTGCAGCTTTGCACTCTGATCGTCTAGTATAAAGGCTTGCCCACTTGTACCTTTTATGGTATAGGTTTTTTCCACTAGTTTTCCATATTATTAATTCATAGTTTTCACGTTTTTCTTGATTTCCCAATCTCTAGTGAAGTGAAGTCTCCCCTTATAACTACAGTTGATTTTGTAGTTGACGGCAACTGGTGTTGTCGCTGGACTAATGAGCCAAAGAACTAAGGAATGATCTGGGGACCTGGGTTCGAATCCTTCACAGCAGATGGCAAATTTGAATTCCATGAAAGAAATCTGGAATTCAAATTCTAATAATGACGATGAAATCATTGTCAGTATGTTGTAAAACCCCGGAGATAACAAGGTGTAGAGCTGGATGAACACAGCAGGCCAAGCAGCATCAGAGGAGCAGGAAGGCTGACGTTTCGGGCCTAGACTCTCCTTCAGAAATGGGGGAGGGGAAGGGGGTTCTGAAATAAATAAGGAGAGAGGGGGAGGCGGATAGAAGATGGATAGAGGAGAAGATAGGTGGAGAGGAGACAGACCGGTCAAAGAGGCGGGGATGGAGCCAGTAAAGGTGAGTGTAGGTGGGGAGGTAGGGAGGAGATAGGTCAGTCCAGGGAGGACGGACAGGTCAAAGGGGCGGGATGAGGTTAGTAGGTGGGAGATGGGGATGGGGCTTGAGGTGGGAAGAGGGGATAGGTGGGAGGAAGGACAGGTTAGGGAGGCGGGGACGAGCTGGGCTAGTTTTGGGATGTGGTAGGGGGAGGGGAGATTTTGAAGCTTGTGAAGTCCACATTGATACCATTGGGCTGCAGGGTTCCCAAGCAGAATATGAGTTGCTGTTCCTGCAACCTTCGGGTGGCATCGTTGTGGCACTGCAGGAGGCCCAGGATGGACATGTCGTCTGCGGAATGGGAGGGGGAATTGAAATGGTTCGCGACTGGGAGGTGCAGTTGTTTAGTGCGAACCGAGCGTAGGTGTTCTGCAACGCGGTCCCCAAGCCTCCGCTTGGTTTCCACGATGTAGAACAGGCCACAACGGGTACAGCGGATGCAGTATACCACATTAGCAGATGTGCAGGTGAACATCTGCTTGATGTGGAAAGTCTTCTTGGGGCCTGGGATGGGGGTGAGGGGGGAGGTGTAGGGGCAGGTGTAGCACTTCCTGCGGTTGCAGGGAAAAGTGCCGGGTGAGGTGGAGCTGGAGGCGAGCGTGGAGCGGACAAGGGAGTCATGGAGAGAGTGGTCCCTCCGGAAAGCAGATAAGGGTGGGGAGGGAAAAATGTCTGTGGTAGAGGGGTTGGATTGCAGATGTCGGAAGTGTCGGAGGATGATGCGTTGGATCCGGAGATTGGTGGGGTGGTACGTGAGGACGAGGGGGATTCTGTTTTGGTTGTTACTGCGGGGAGTGGGTGTGAGGGATGAGTTGCAGGAAATGCGGGAGACACGATTGAGGGCGTTCTCGACCACTGAGGGGGTGAAGTTGCGGCCCTTGGAAAACGAGGACATCTGAGATGTACGGGAGTGGAATGCCTCATCCTGGGAGCAGATGTGGCAGAGGCGAAGGAATTAGGAATAGGGGATGGCATTTTTGCAGGAAGGTGGGTGGGAGGAGGTGTATTCTAGGTAGCTGTGGGAGTCGGTGGGCTTGAAATGGATATCGGTTTCTAGGTGGTTGCCGGAGATGGAGACAGAGAGGTCCAGGAAGGAGAGAGAGGTATTAGAGATGGTCCAGGTGAGCTTAAGGTTGGGATGGAAGGTGTTGGTGAAGTGGATGAACTGTTCGAGCTCCTTGTGGGAGCACGAGGCGGCGCCGATACAGTCATCAATGTAATGGAGGAAGAGGTGGGGTTTAGGGCCAGTGTAGGTATGGAAGAGGGATTGTTCCACGTAACCTACAAAGAGGCAGGCGTAGCTTGGGCCCATGCGGGTACCCATGGCCACCCCCTTTGTCTGTAGGAAGTGGGAGGAATTGAAAGAGAAATTGTTGAGGGTGAAGACGAGTTCAGCTAAGCGGATGAGGGTGTCATTGGAGGGGGACTGGTCAGGCCTGCGGGACAGGAAGAAGCGGAGGGCCTTTAGGCCATCTGTATGGGGAATGCAGGTGTATAGGGACTGGACGTCCATGGTAAAGATGAGGTGTTGGGGACCGGGGAATTGGAAGTTCTGGGTTCTGGAGGAGGTGGAGGGCATGGGTGGTGTCACGGACGTAGGTAGGGAGTTCCTGGACCAAGGGGGAGAAAATGGAGTCCAGATAGGTGGAGATAAGTTCAATGGGGCAGGAGCAGACGGCGACAATGGGTCGACCAGGGCAGTCAGGTTTGTGGATTTTGGGAAGGAGATAGAAGTGGGCGGTGCAGGGTTGGGGATCGATGAGGTTGGAGGCTGTGGTTGGGAGGTCACCTGAAGTGATGAGGTTGTGGATGGTTTGGGAGATGATGGTTTGGTGGTCGGGGGTGGGGTCATGATTAAGGGGGCGGTAGGAGGAGGTGTCAGAGAGTTGGCGTCTGGCCTCGGCGATGTAGAGGTCAGTGCGCCATACTACAACCGTGCCTCCCTTGTCCGCGGGTTTTATGGTGAGGTTGGGATTGGAGCGGACGGAGCGGAGGGCTGCACGTTCTGCGGGGGAGAGGTTGGAGTCGGTGAGAGGGGTGGAGGTGTTGAGGCGATTGATGTCACGACGGCAGTTGGAGATGAAGAGGTCGAGGGAGGGTAGGAGGCCTTGGGCTGGTCAGTCCTCAGTAAAGGGCTCACCTTTGTCCCCCTCCACCCACACATCAACGAATACCGGTCACGTTTGGACATAGAGCAGTTTTTCTGCCGCCTCTGCCTCCGCGCTTTCTTCTTCAACCGTGAGCCTAACCCTCCCTCTACTGATCCCTTCTTCCGCCTCCAACACACCCCCTCCTCCTGGACACCACCCCAAGGCCTCCTACCCTCCCTTGACCTCTTCATCTCCAACTGCCGTCATGACATCAATCGCCTCAACCTCTCCACCCCTGTCACCCACTCCAGCCTCTCCCCCGCAGAACGTGCAGCCCTCCGCTCCAATCCCAACCTCACCATAAAACCCGCGGACAAGGGAGGCGCAGTTGTAGTCTGGTGCACTGACCTCTACATTGCCGAGGCCAGATGCCAACTCTCCGACACCTCCTCCTACCACCCCCTTGATCATGATCCCACCCCCAACCACCAAACCATCATCTCCCAAACCATCCACAACCTCATCACTTCAGGTGACCTCCCACCCACAGCCTCCAACCTCATCGTTCCCCAACCCCGCACCGCCCGCTTCTATCTCCTTCCCAAAATCCACAAATCTGACTACCCTGGTCAACCCATTGTCTCCGTCTGCTCCTGCCCCACCGAACTTATCTCCACCATCTGGACTCCATTTTCTCCCCCTTGGTCCAGGAACTCCCTACCTACGTCCGTGACACCACCCATGCCCTCCGCCTCCTCCAGAACTTCCAATTCCCCGGTCCCCAACACCTCATCTTTACCATGGACGTCCAGTCCCTATACACCTGCATTCCCCATACAGATGGCCTAAAGGCCCTCCGCTTCTTCCTGTCCCGCAGGCCTGACCAGTCCCCCTCCAATGACACCCTCATCCGCTTAGCTGAACTCGTCTTCACCCTCAACAATTTCTCTTTCAATTCCTCCCACTTCCTACAGACAAAGGGGGTGGCCATGGGTACCCGCATGGGCCCAAGCTATGCCTGCCTCTTTGTAGGTTACGTGAAACAATCCCTCTTCCATACCTACACTGGCCCTAAACTCCACCTCTTCCTCCGTTACATTGATGACTGTATCGGCGCCGCCTCGTGCTCCCACAAGGAGCTCGAACAGTTCATCCACTTCACCAACACCTTCCATCCCAACCTTAAGCTCACCTGGACCATCTCTAATACCTCTCTCTCCTTCCTGGACTTCTCTGTCTCCATCTCTGGCAACCACCTAGAAACCGATATCCATTTCAAGCCCACCGACTCCCACAGCTACCTAGAATACCCCTCCTCCCACCCACCTTCCTGCAAAAATGCCATCCCCTATTCCCAATTCCTTTGCCTCTGCCGCATCTGCTCCCAGGATGAGGCATTCCACTCCCGTACATTTCAGATGTCTTCGTTTTTCAAGGACCGCAACTTCCCCCGCTCAGTGGTCAAGAACGCCCTCGATCGTGTCTCCCGCATTTCCTGCAACTCATCCCTCACACCCACTCCCCGCAATAACAACCAAAACAGAATCCCCATCGTCCTCACGTACCACCCCACCAATCTCCGGATCCAACGCATCATCCTCCGACACTTCCGCCATCTGCAATCCAACTCCCCCACCACAGACATTCTTCCCTCCCCACCCTTATCTGCTTTCCGGAGGGACCACTCTCTCCGTGACTCCCTTGTCCGCTCCACGCTCACCTCCAGCCCCACCTCACCCGGCACTTTTCCCTGCAACCGCAGGAAGTGCTACACCTGCCCCTACACCTCCCCCCTCACCCCCATCCCAGGCCCCAAGAAGACTTTCCACATCAAGCAGATGTTCACCTGCACATCTGCTAATGTGGTATACTGCATCCGCTGTTCCCGTTGTGGCCTGTTTTACATCGGGGAAACCAAGCGGAGGCTTGGGGACCGCTTTGCAGAACACCTACGCTCGGTTCGCACTAAACAACTGCACCTCCCAGTCGCGAACCATTTCAACTCCCCCTCCCATTCCGCAGATGACATGTCCATCCTGGGCTTCCTGCAGTGCCACAACGATGCTACCCGAAGGTTGCAGGAACAGCAACTCATATTCTGCTTGGGAACCCTGCAGCCCAATGGTATCAATGTGGACTTCACAAGCTTCAAAATCTCCCCTCCCCCTACCGCATCCCAAAACCAGCCCAGCTTGTCCCCGCCTCCCTAACCTGTCCTTCCTCCCACCTATCCCCTCCTCCCACCTCAAGCCGCACCCCCATCTCCTACCTACTAACCTCATCCCGCCCCCTTGACCTGTCCGTCCTCCCTGGACTGACCTATCTCCTCCCTACCTCCCCACCTACACTCACCTTTACTGGCTCCATCCCCGCCTCTTTGACCAGTCTGTCTCCTCTCCACCTACCTTCTCCTCCATCCATCTTCTATCCGCCTCCCCCTCTCTCCCTATTTATTTCAGAAACCCCTTCCCCTCTCCCATTTCTGGAGAAGGGTCTGGGCCCGAAACGTCATCCTTCCTGCTCCTCTGATGCTGTTTGGCCTGCTGTGTTCATCCAGCTCTACACCTTGTTATCTCAGATTCTTCAGCATCTGCAGTTCCTACTATCTTTGTTGTAAAACCCCATCCAGTTCATTAATGTCCCCCTTTAGGGAAGGAAACAGCCATCTTTACCTGGTTTGGCCTATTATGACTCCAGACCCACCGTAATTTGCTTGGCTCTTAACTGTCCTCTGAAATGGCCCAGCTAGCCATTCCTTTATGAAATGCTAGAAAGGAAAAATTGAAAGATATTGGATGGATTACCTGGCATCAACTAAGGCACCACAAACAACAGCAAACATAGCCATGCCGAAACTGCAAAGTCCTCATTACTGACATCTGGGACTAGTACCAAAATTTGGAGAGTAGTCTCAGACTAGTCAAACAACAGCCTGATGTAGTCATACTGGGGATAATGATGGGAAATTGTCTGTAAGGTATGATTCCTTCAGTATGTTTATGTCAAGCTGTGGGACAGCAGTCAAATTTACCACAAACACCCAGATATTGGTAGGGAGATCTTTGCAGGGCTGACAAGCTTGCGTTCATCATTGTTGATGCCAGTGTCTAGGTAATTGCTCGGTGATCCATCTGGTTTCATTCCTTAATTTACACTTAGTAGTGGCTTGGTACAGCTGAATGGCTTGTTAGGTCATCCATGCTGCTGTTGGTCTGGAGCCACATGTGGACCAGACCAGATAAGGATGGCAGATTTCCTTTCCAAAAGGACATTAGTGAAATAGAACTTTTGTGATAATCAACTCTGGTTACTTGGTTGACATTGGTCTAGCTTTTAATTCCAGATTTTATTGAATTTCAGTTTCACCGTCTGTCATGGTGGGATTCGAACAGTTCTGAGAACATTAAACTGGATGAGTGTAGCTCCCACAACAGTTGAGAAGCTTGACACCATCCGGGACACACAAGCCCGTGGGACTGGCACCCCATCCACCACCTTCACCATTCACTACCTTTAACAATATTGTATCATGGCAGCAATGTGTACAGTCTACAAGGTGCACTGCAGTAACATAACTAAACCCCTTCAACAGCTCCTTCCAAACCCTCGCTCTATCATTTAAAAGGACAGTGGTGGCAGACATAGGGAAACCCTATCGCTTGCAAATTGCTCTCCAAGTTTTATACCATCCTGACTTGGAACTGTGTCACTATTACTTCATTGTCGTTGGGTCAAAATTATAGACATCCTTCCCTCAAAAAGGGTATACTCCAAGAACTGCAGGGGATCAAGAAAGCAGCTCCCCACTACCTTATCCAGGGCAATTGGGGATGAGCAATAAATGCTGGCCTACAAGAAACTCGGTGGGTCTGGCAGTATCTGAGGAGAGAAGGCAGAGTTAATGATTCAAATGACCCATTAACTCTGTTTTTTCTCTCCAGATTCTGCCAGACCTGGTGTTGTCTCCAGCAATTTCTGTTTTTATTCCAGATTTCCAGCATCTGCAGTTTTTTTTTCTCATAGGATGTTTCACACATTTTTGGTGGATGTGAGCATAAAGAAATGAAAAGGACCAGGAAAATTGCATTGAATTAATGCTTGATTGTGAAACCTGCCAGTCTGTGCTAACCACCTATAGGCTTGTTTAAGTTGTCTTAATCATTTCTAGTCTGAAATTTTCTGCTGTATCGGACTTATCAATTTTGTATTATACAGCTCCCATGTAATTCACCCTTTGGTTTAAATAATTAAGCTTAATGTTTATTGTAGTGTGCCACTCCAGCTTTCTGCTTTCTTTCATAAATCATCACTTCTTTTTAGGTTGACAATGAAAACAATCAAGCACTCATTAGATCTTTGTTCTGAGATTATAGCAACCCAGAAAGTAAGTCTTGCATAGTTAATAATGCCTGTATTTTGTGGTTGAATATTGTTGCCAATATTCTGTGTTGTTTTATTATTTGAAGATAGTTTAAAAAGTATTTTTTAGTTCACTCCCCTCCCGTTCTGCCCTCAACTTGGTCCACTGGAAATGTAGTTTTCTCAAATGTTTTAACATTCCCACACTTGTTGGTATTATCAACAAATTTGTGGATGGTTTCTTGACACCTTTTACTCAGACCATTAAGGTGATGAAACGCAGTAGTTCTTAACCCCTATTATGGACTCTATAACTTGTCTTTCTGCAGAGCCACAACAATGAACCTTTTGTCTAGAGGAATGAAACTAATTATTTATCCAACCCCAAATCTCCCACTGTTCCATCAGACCCACTGTCTTATTTAGTGGCCTATAATGTGGCATCTTATCAAAGGCCTTTTGAATGCAAAAAAGTTCAGACAGTTTGGCGAGACAAGATTATTTCTAGAAGCTAAGTTGAGAGATTGGTGCTGAGACACATTGTTGAGGCAGAAGGCAAAAAGGTTTGCATTTGGCTATATTGTATCTGACCTCCGAGTACTTGATGCAAAGAGAGCCTGAAGTGGAAAGCAATCCATTCCTTAATATGAGCACACAAGAGACCAGATAGGTGCTGTTGATGTCTTTTTTCAACATCATTTATTTAATTGATTAAAATCGTAACAGTAACTATATAACATTAAACATGAGATTCTGAAGTAAACTTTATTTTGTTGTAGGAAGTTCACACTTTGGAGAATGCAGTACTCGAAGTTCAAAAGCAAAGGCTAAGTAATTGCAGTAGAGATGCATTTGTTTCCTATAGCACTATAAATGTGAATACTTTAGTAAAATTTATTTTTGGCCACTAATGTGCTGTATTACTAAAATTATATGATGGCTGTTTGGGATATAACATTGTGTACCTAATTCGGATTTTAAAATGAGTGTTTTTTTTGTCTGGAAGCGAAATCAAACAATGTATATAAGTTGTCAATATATTATTGACTTCACCTAGACCTGCTCCTTTAGCCAACTAATATTTACAATAGTACACAAGTATTTGAACATGTTGCAAGATAAACACGTGCTTGAAATAGTACAGTTCTCAAAAAATAAATACAAAACTATGCATACATCCCTAATCTTCCACAAACTGAAACAGTGATGCATTTTCTTTTTAATTTATTTAGTGTTAAAACGAAAGATGCAAGGTGTATTGCAGGACATGAAAGCTGAAAAGAGGAAGCAGCAACAATTGCTGCAACAACTACAGGATGAACTTCCAAAACGTGGAGAAAAGAACTTGCTAGAACACGTGAAAATGGTGACATTAATTCAGAAGGTTTTGCAGGTAGACGTTGCTAATATTTATCAACTTGAACTTAAGTATCATACTTTGTTTTTATATGTTTAGGTATTGATCTTGGAGTGTTCAGGCTTGTATGTTGAGATGTTCCTGCCTCCTTTCCTGAATGAGTTAACTGCTTTGCATGTACAATGTTGTGGACAGTGGTCTCCCTCCAGGGAGATATTCATGCTATGTTTGTGGTCTTGGACAACAGGACCACGTTTTCAGCAGTTTTCTTCCTGTGCTGTACCGTTCTGGGTTCTGAAATAATAAGGGATATCATAGGCTGGCAATTGTACAAGTTTAATCCTCAATCCAAGTGTTGGAAGACTGGTCAATTTTCAAAGAAGTAAAAGCAAACCAAAACTTGCCTTTTTATACTACTATATCAATTTGTGCAAATATCTCAAAACATTTCACAATCATTTCATTTCAAAAAAAGCTGTGACAGTTATGCAGAGAAATGAATCATTCGTTTTGCACACAGACAGTCATTACAAATAGTAATGAGGCGAGTAATCAGTTAATCTTTCTTGATAGCATTGATTTATGCAAGAAGATTACCTGGGACACAAGGACAACCACTTATTCCCATTGAATAGTGTCATTGATGTATGCAAATAGGAAGCAAAATACTGCAGATACTGAAAATCTGAAATTTAAACAAAAAACATGCTGGAAATGCTACAGACTAATGACCTTTATTCAGCACTATTTAGTGTTAGCAGAATAGCAATGGTGAAAGAAAATGTGGAAAATTTGGAAAGGCATGGAGAGTTTCAGTGGGTTAGGAGTAAGGTGGAAGAAAAAAGCAGATTGACACAAGAAATGGCTTTCCTTTCAGTTTTACTGTTTATTTTCAATTTTAGCACATTCTGATTCTTGGATACATCTTCCATTTCTCTGTTTCCTAGGCAAGATATATGGCTCAGGAACAGGCCACCCAGTCAGTTGTGTTTTTGCTCTACTTGAGCTTCTTTCCATCTTTCCTAATCTAAATCAACAATGGTAACTCTATATTCCTTATATGCTTGATTAGATTCCCCTTAACTAATCTATACTGTTTGCTTCAGCCACTCCCTGTGGCAACAAACTCTAAATTCTCACCACTTTGGGGAAATAAATTTCTTCTGAATTCCCTCTTAGATTTTTTTGGTGACTATCTTGTGCTAATGGGCTTAGGAATATTCCCCCTGCCTCTTTTCTTACCAAAAGTTTTGAAATACCTTTTATTAGGTTATCCCTCAGCATTTTTATGGCCTGTTAATCCTTTCATGTTTAAAGAAACCAACACATTTCTGTTAAAATTCTTAATCTCCCTGGACCCTGTCCAGTGTCTAAACATCCTTTTTCTATGATATGGTCAGTAGAAGTACACTCAGTACTTCTGTGGTTTAACCAAAGTTTGCCGCAGGATTAACACGTCTTCCCTATGTTTCAATGCTATCCCTTTAAAAATATTGCACATTTTGGCGTAACTCCTTATTCTTTTTAATGTACTCCCTCACACTAACCTGTGAGAAGCTTCTTTAGCTCATTATTTCACCATTTTGCAATTTTATCTGCAATTTGTTAATCTACCTTAGTTTTGAATATACCCCAACCTCACTCGTGTCTTCTGAAAATTAAAGAATTGGGTTTTTGATTCCTACATTCAAAATTTAAATATAAATGTGAACAGCAAGAATTCAAGCACTGATCTTTGTGGAATACCCTTCTCAACTACTCCGAACAGCTACCATATGCTCCTTCTCTCTGCATTCTGTCTTGAAGTCATCTAGCAATCTGTTCTGCCACTTGTCTCTACCTGATTCCATCTGCTTTGACCATCCTACATTAGTTTCTTGTGGGACACCTTAAAGTCATTTTAAATGTTAAAAAAAATTACATATACTACATTACCATTGTCTAGGCACTATTGTTTTCTGAAAAGAATTGAGTTAATTGAGTCAGAGTATTATAGCATAGAAACAGACCCTTTGGCCCAACTCGTCCACGCTGACCAGGTTTCTTAAACTGAACTAGTCCTTTTTGCCTCTGTTTGCTCCCCTCTAAATATTTCCTGTCAATGTACCTGTCCAAATGTCTTTTAAATGTTATAACTGAACTCACCGCTATGCACCACCCTATGTGTGAAAAGGTTGCCCTTCAGGTCCCTTTTTAAATCTTTTCCCTCTCACCTTAAACCTATGCCCTCTAGTTTTGGACTCCCCTACCCTGGGGAAAACACCTTGGCTATTCACCTTATCTGTGCCCATCGTGATTCTGTAAGGTTTCCCCCTCAGCTTCCTACGCTCCAGGGAAAAATGTCCCAGCGTATCCAGCCTCTACTTATAACTCAAACCTTCCAGTTTCAGTATCAACCTTGTAAATCTTTATTTGCACCCTTTCCAGTTTAATAACATCCTTTCTATAGCTGGGTGACCAGAATTGTCTGCATTACTTCAAATGTGGGACTTATCGATGTCTTGTACAACCCTAACACGATGTCCCAACTCCTGTACTCCCTATTCTAATTCATGAAGGAAAGTGTGGCAGACACCTCCTTTACCACCCTGTCTATCTGTGACAACACCTTCAAGGAACTATTCTTAGGGGGCGGGGAGGTCGATCCCCTCTGATAATTAAAATCAAAGCACAAGCCCCCAATAATGTTATGGTGGGAGTAAAGGTCCTCTACCAGTAAATAAACCCAAAAAACCCCAGAAGCTCACCTCACCTCGCCTAATCTGTTAAACTGTTATGAAGAAGGGGAGGTTAAGTGAAAGAAAATCCCTGATATTCACTTTATAACTAACAAATAACAATTTATTTATTTAAATGTAACAGTGAACAAATCAACAGAATTGCTTTAAAAAACCGAACAATTCCCCCTTAACTACTAACTATTCCCTAACTGAACTAAATTCTACTGGCATGCTGTTCCAATAAAGACAAGTCCCACTTGTATAAACACAAGTAATAAGAAATTAAATTAAAACTTAGTTTCTCAACGTCTACATGACTTTCTTCAAAATCCCTCCTTCCCCCTCCCCCTCCCCCTCCCTGGCTGTCAGGGATGTTTTCTCTGTGAAGTCTTCTGTGAAGACTCTTAGCTACAAGTGCTGTGGTACCTTTTATGGATAGATGGTGCTTCTTAGAGAGCTTAGCGATTTCTTGTGAGAGCTAGATACTTATTTCTGATTTTCAAAAATGCCCTCCTCATATACCTTGGATGACGTATCAATTTTCTTACAAAAGCATTGGTCTGAGGTTATCAAAACCATCAGATTTAAATTCAAATGGCTTTCAATCGCTAAGTGCTTGGTTTAAATTAATTGCTGATTCCAGCTAGTTGCCAAAACATCAAAACAAGCCTAAGGTTTCCAATCACACAGCCAATTGATACATATTTCAATTTCAGAACTGGCTGTACCCCTTCAGCTGCTTAGACACATTTTCTGTATAAATCTCTCAGCTTAGAAAAGTACTTTACCTCTTAGAGGAGCCACACACTCTTCTCCCTTACCATTTTTTACGAACAAATTCTAGCTTCCTGCCTTCCAATTCATGGTTACTGTACACAACTTCATAACACTATGTACCTGCAACCCTAGGTCTCTTTGTTCGACCATACTCCCCAGGCCCATACCATTAACTGTGTTAGTCTTGCCCGATTTACCTTATGAAAATGCAATACCTCGCATTTTTCTAAATTAAATTCCTTCTGCCATTCTTTGGTCCACTGACCCAGTTGATCAAGGTCCTGCCAATTTGCATTCTATGCTGACTATCCATGAATGTATTTCATACTTCTAGAATTTCTTCAGTAGTACAGATTCCATTTATCTATCACTGATGTTAAGATGTATATAATTCCCTAGACATATTGTTGTACTAATTTATAATTATTTTGTAATCCGCTTATTCAGACTTGTTATGACAAAGTAGGTGGGACTTGAACCTGGACCTTGTGACTTAATGTAGGAATGTCACAAGGGCACAACAATTTATTCATATTATTTTTTTTTAATCTTGTCGTTTCACTACTTGATCATTGCCTGTCCTCTACCTAATTACATTTTTCTTCCCTTGGTTCCATCCCTCCTTACTGGTTGTGTACAATCTACAGATTTGACAGAAAGTCATCAATCTGTTAACCCTATCTGACCCTTTCCATGGATATTGCCTGTCTTGCAAAGTGTTTCCATTATTTTCTGTTTTAATTCAAAGCAGATAGGATTTTTGGTTAATATCATTGCAAGGACAATAACTTTGATAATGATTCTGGTATGCTTCAGCAGTTATTTACAGCGCCCCTACTGAAATTCCATCTGTGGTTGACTACCTTGACACAAACTGGAAATTCTGTCTGATATTTTGTGGATCATAAAGCTTTGTTACATGTTCATTACATTACTGGAGAACCATGTTTTTATTTTCCATGGGAAATGTGTAGAACAGTTGAAGTACTAACCTCTTAAGTTTTTGGTAATTCAAAGTAACCAGAATCTTGACCTTTATTTTAACAGGGTGTTATTCTTTCCAGCGGAGTGAACTGGGCCAAGGATCCTGTATTAAAGGAAATTGTTTTGCAGCTTGAGAATAATCCACTTGATGAAGCAGATTCAAGCAATTGATTTTTGTCTAATTGTTTTCAATGGTGAAGACCAAATGAGCCTCGATTTAATGTGCCAAGTACTCATACCATCACTAAACTGTCTACTTTCTACCACAACCAGGACAACTATATTTTGGACTTATTTTAGTGAATACTTATGCTAAATATTAAAAATGAACGGTCACATTTGTGTTTTAATTTTCTTTTTCGACCTGTCTTTTAAATTCAACTTTTAATATGTTGCAGTGAAATTTAGACAATTGTATTTGGTCTTCATGTTTTTTAATATATATATAAAACTGTAAAACAAATATTTTAAAAGATTTGGTGGTTATTTAATTTACCTCTGCAGAATTCCAAATTATCAGTCAGCTTTCTGACCAATGGAAGAAAGCATACAAGTGATTATGTTCCCATATACCTACTGTCCTTACCTAGTCATAGTAGTGGTCCAGAGTTGGAAGTTGAAGTTGAATATCACCTGGAAGATTTTCAAAATTTAAACATCCCACTGTACAAAATGAACTTTGGATGAGCATTCATGGATGCTAATTTACTTCACTGATTCCTTTCTCCTCTTCCCCTCACTTTAGTATCTAATTTTCTTGTGAATACAAATGGCAATATTAAAATGTTTACGGTTGAATGTCTAATGTGTTGAACGATTTAAAAATGTTATATTGTTCATTTACTTTCTGGAGTCTGCAATTGCCTCTGTTAATGTATAATTTTGTCATTAAGAAATATAAATAAAACAGTCAAACCCATAAGTTCTTATGTGTTGGAATATCAATATAGATACATTTGGTGTGTGTGACTAAGTTAAAAGAAGTACTGCTTTATAGTGGAAAAGGTGTGACAGGGAACAAATCTACTTATGATTCTCCTGCTTTCAACTGTTCAGTGTCAAATTTACTTCATTGCTGGCATGTTTCCCACAAATTAATTACAATATACTGAGTAAATGTTATTAATTGGGTGTGGCTCTTGTGGTGCAGTGGTAGTATCCCCACCTCTGAGCCAGGAGGCCTGGGTTCATGTCCCATTTGTGCCAGAGGTGTGTCATGACATCTCTGAACAGGTTGATTAGGAAACTATTGATAATGGATTGCATCACAGCTGTTTGGTTCACTTGTCGCTCAAGTCTGTGTTAGGTCAAAATCATTAAATTCCTTCCAGATCGTCATCTTCCAACGGAGAATACTGGGATTACTGAATTTAATTAATGCCTAGTGGCCTATTTGCTCCAAAATACACAATCTAATCTGCCCTCCCCCTGCCTAAGCTTAACAATTAATTTAGGTGTGTTTACTTAATAGTCCATGTAAGTGACAGAACTATAACAAACTTGTGTATCTTGTAATTTTAGAGTGCTGAACAACATTGGTTTTATTGCTGCTGTTATTTCATTAAGCTGAAATAGAGTACAACTTAATCAGTAAGCAATGCCTCCAGTGCTTTTTTTCTCCCAACAAAGAAAAAAAAATTCTTGATGCAAGGCCAAAACCTGAACAGAAAATCCTGGAGATAGCCAACAGGTCAATCTTCATTAAAACACAAGACCGCTTCAGATGAAAGTCTGTGTCAGGTCAGAAGCTAGGTATTCTGCAGCAATAAAATTATTAGTTGTCCTCCCAATACCTGCCCACTATGTTCAGGTCAGGAATGTGATGGAATACGCTCCACTTGCCTGGATGTGCAGTTCCTACAACACTCAAGCTTGACAGTATCCAGCTTGACTGGCATACCCTCCACTATCAAACAGCAACTTCCAACTCTGGACCACTACAATGACTAGGTCAAGGACAGTAGGTATATGGGAACATAATCACTTGTATGCTTTCTTCCAAGCCAACATCATTTTAACTTGCTACCATGTTATTGTTCCTTCACTATCACTGAGTCAAAATCCTCGACCTCTCCTTCTAGCAACATTGTTGATGTATCTACCCTGAAGGACTGCAGCAAATAAAGTTCCCCAATAACACCTTCTCAAGGACAATTAAGAATGAGCAACAAATGCTGGCCGATCCACAAAAGCTTACATCCGTGAACCCAGTCCATAGGAACAAACTAGAGTTGTGAATAGTAGACCCTAGATAGCTGTTATAATCATAGACAATCATACAGCACAGAAACAGACCATTTTGGTCTAACTCATCTGCACTGACCAGACAACCCATTCTGATCTAGTCTCGTTCACCAGCATTTGGCCCATATCCCTCTAAATCTTTCCTGTTCATATACCCATCCAGATGCCTTTTAAATGTTCTAATTGTACCTGTCTGCACCGCTTCCTCTGGCAGCTTGCTCTGTACATGTACTACCCTCTGCATGAAAAAAGTTACCTCACAGGTCCTTATTAAATCTTTCCCCTCTTACCTTAAACCTATTCCTTCTAGTTTTGGACTCCCCCCACTCTAGGAGAAAAACCTTGGCTATTCACCCTATCCATGCCCTTCATGATTTTATAAACCTCTATAAGGTCCAGTACTTTCTGCCCTCAATGTTACTAATCACTTCCAAGTGTTCTAGTCTCTCACTCTTAACTGCTTGCCCAAGGAACTGACCTTGTCACTCGTTGACCATCTGGACGTTCTTCCTGTATGGTGACTTGCCTCAAAAGAAAAATGTTAGCTGTGCATGGTGTCCAAATAATCCTCATCACCCATATCAGAAGCAACATCTGTGGCCCATTACCTTATATTCCGACATTACAGCAGACACCTCAAGGCACTGGAGCAGTACCACCAAGGCTGCCTGCGCAAAATCCCATAATCAGCTGGGAAGAAAGATGCACCAACACCAGTGTCCTTGATCAGGCCAACATCCCTAGCATCAGGGCACTGAGCACCCTTGACTAGCTATGATAGGCTGGGCATGTTGTCCACATGACCAACATGAGACTCCCAAGCAGGTGCTCTACTCCCAGCTTTGAAACAGCAGCTGAGTCCCAGTCAGACAGAGGAAGTGCTTCTGTCTTACCCTCCAGGCCTCCCTGGCAAAGTGTGGCATTTTCACAGACACCTGGGAATCACTGGCCCAAGACTGTCCACAGTGGAAGAGGAGCATACAGGAAAGTGATGAGTACCTCAAAACTTGCCATCCGGAAAAAAAAAGGAAGCCAGGCAAAAACAGCGATAGGAGTGTGCTGCTACGCCAACACCCCACCCCCTTCTTTCTGCGAACACCTTCGGTGTAACAGAGCCTGCAGTTGCCATGTCAGGTATACAGCCACCTATGGGCTCACCCTGAGTGGAAGAGAGTCATCCTCGTCTGCCTCGAGGGACCGTCGATGATGAATAATATTCCAACCCAGCCTTGATTCTGCATCGTGAGTGATCAGATGTAACATTTTAGCAATCCCAATAATTCCCTTAATTTTACATTATCGGACAAAAATCCTACTTTATTTTCAGGACCTTGTGCATAGACCGTCTGCCCTAGCTCGAATGTGCGCTAACACATTTCATGGGTTGCGAAATGCTGTACAGCTTACGCCGATGCCAGCCAATGCCAGCGGCCAGGGAAAGGGGACAGTTAAGTCTCTCAGATAAAATGCAACAGTACTTGCTGACGCCACGTGTTAAGACATCACGTGGTGCAGGGAGCGGGGCGGGACAAGTGTCATCGCAGGTGACCAGGCCGTACACGGCCAGAGCACGCGCCACTCCGCATGGTGATTGACAGCGTCGCGCTCGGGTTCGAGCCTCACTCCACCCCTCCCCAAACTCCAGCTCACCGGAACGCACTCGCGCACCCGGCTATTTGTCACTGACACTCCACCAAACCTTTCACCCGGAAGTGAACATTGATTAGCGTCGCCATGGGGAACGCAGGAAATAAGATGGCGGCCAACAGTCGGGTCGTTCAGGTAAGAGGAGTGTAGCTTTTCCTGTGTGTTCTGTTGATGGGTTTAGATGTCAGCGACTGAGGGAAGCAGCAGCAGCAATAATGGTGATTGCACGGTTGTCTGTGTCCTCTTCTGTCTCGATGTGGATTTTCTTTTCTTATATATACGCATACAGGGGTCGTGTCCTTGTCGCTCATTGCCCGCGTTCCCTAAGTTTCTCCACTGTTTTGGTTTGAGTTCGTTTGGATGTTGGCTCCCGAGATTCGTTTTTTTAAAAAAAAGGCAGCGGAGGGTTAAAAATAAGATGTTGTGAGAGCAGGCCTGAACCTCTGCAGCCAGGTCCTTAACTCCGGGCCATTGCTTGCAGAGCGGTTCACTCTCACCTGGTGTGTCACCAGCAACTCGCACCAAGTTTTCCAATGCTTAAACAGTGCTATTTATAAAGATGGGATGGCAATAATTGTTCTTCTGGAGCGCACCCTCCACCATTTAATATCCAAGCCAGGCATGTACAGATTTTGGTGCTGTTGTGCGAGCACTGGCATCGGTTTGTTCTTTATTTGGATGCGAAAGTGCGAAAATTCAGCATATCCAGCAATATCTTCGCAAGTCATTAGATTTCTCACTAAATCTCACTTTGAGATTCCAGAGTCTGCGGTGTGTTGCTTTCATTTTAATTAGGACATTGGGACGGAGGAAAACGAAGCCAGAATAAGCCATTCGAGCTGTCCAACAAGAGATCCGCCGCTGGTTGTTGAGTACTTTGGAATGTCCAGTGTTCATGAAAGGCCGTATATAAATCTGTGGCTAAGTGTACTTCCAATATTTCTAGCCAACTGAAAGTTCAGAACCTGCTAAATTTCTTTCTCTGTGAAAAATTGGTACCTGTAGCTGGATAATTTGCATCTATTTAGATTTCTTTGCTTCATTGGCAGTAGAAACTTGGATTTATTGCTCATTGTTAAGGATTCTTGTCACAATTATGCAAGGCCAGCATTCAGAAGTTGTATGGTTTTAGGAATTCCACCAAAGTACTGTCCACTAGTGCTGTTCTATTTGCAATGTATTACATTTAGCTCTTCTGGTCTCACAGACTGACTTGGAAAACACAAAATAAGAGCATGAGTAGGCCAATTAGCCCTTTTGAGTCTGCTCTGCCATTTCATGTGATCGTGGCTCATCATCTAACTCATTACCCTGTTGTTGCCTTCTGCCTGTACTGTTTGATCCCTTTTCTCCTCCAAACTATATCTAGCTCCTCCTTGAAAATATTAATGCTTTAACATCAACTGTTTTGTGTAGCAGAGAATTCCACTGTTTCACCATTCTCTGGGTGAAGAGATTTCTCCTCATCATAGCCTTCGGTGGCCTACCTGTATCTTGTGACCTCTGGTTCTGGATTTGCCAGTCATCAGGAATGTTTACCCCGCACTTAGCGTGTATAAACCAGTTAGTATTTTATCGGCTTCTATGAGATCCCACTCGTTCTAAACTGCAGTAAGTATAGTGCTAACCGATCCTGGCTCTTTTCATATCTCAGTCCAGCTATCCCAGGAATCAGCATGGTAAATTTTTGCCACGCTGCCTCCATAGCCAGAATATCCTTTCCCAGATAAGGAGATGACAACTGCATACAATATTCCAGGCATCGTCTCAGCAAGACTATGCAATTGCAGCAAGACATCACAGCTCCAGCACAATCTATAACCTCATGGCCTGGCATATTCCCCACAAAATCATTACCATAATGCCAAGGGATCGACCCTGG